CCACAAGTTAGAGAATCGCTGATCAGATGGACTTGCCTCCACCAGGTGTCGGGCAGATAATGAATGTTAAACCTATGCAGTTTTAATGTAAGCATCCCCATTTCTTGTAAATGGTTCCAATAAATTTGTGTCTTGCAGGTATGGATGGAACCGATCGGATAATTTTTACGGATAACACCGATATTATATTTGTTTTCATATTTCTGACGGATTCGGATTCTAATACTGGATAGTTTCAACCATGCCGGATAGGATACGATTGGATATCGACATCATAAATATATTTATTTGAGCATTCAGACACGGATACACATCATCGAATGTTGAATATCCGGACTTGATACGAATGATCAGACCTTCTAAACGGATTCGATGGCTCGAATACAGCTTGAAAATATCCGTACCGTTTACACCTACTTGCAGGAGCTAGTGACAGATGGAATAGTATGTTAGTAGCCCATTAGTGTGAATAAAAGCGTAACTTTCAAGTTTCCAAAAACTCCTAATATTCATGTATGATTCAGCTGGGATCAATTAGAGAGAAGAAAATGACTTTATTTTCAAGAATTCGTTGCGTTGGGACAAGAACCGGATAGAATAAAAGGATCCAAATCTAGCGAGTGTCGCTTTGTTGTAAATAGTATATCATTAGTGTCACCTTTGTTTGCTGATGAATAAAAGCGTAACTTTCAAGTTTCCAAGAACTCCTAATATCCCATGTATGATTCAGCTGGGATCAATTCGAGATAAGAAAATAACTTTATTTTCAAGAATTCGTTGTTGGGACAAGAACCAGGATAGAATAAGAGGCATCCAGTCAGTGTTGTAAATAGTATATCATTAGCAATGTCACCTTTGTTGTAAATAGTATATCATTAGTGGGCACTTGTTTCTTTTTTACTATTGTTTTTTAAATTATCCATTGCAACAATTGTACACAATCAAAGTATACAAAGAATCTTGAGCTGCCTTCACATGCTTCTGTGTGAGGAATTGCCAATTGGTAATCTGTTTGGCTTAGCTTGCAGTTCTTCCACACTAAAAAACTCAAATTAGCTGTATTTTATGTTACCTTAAGCTTGCGTTGTCTCCACACTAAAAAACTCAAATTAGCAGTTTTTATGTTAACGATAGAATTGTAACCTTCCACGAAGAAAATGTGAAGTGTTTACCGTATCTAGCTAGATATTTCTTGATCATGTGTTTCTAAACCTCAATATATAGAATCACCAATAGGTCTAGGTTGTGTCCAAATGAGGTTAGCCTGCAGCTCAACATCAAATACTGTAATTGTAGGGATGATTCAAGTATCTCCATGCAAGATATATTATTACAGTAAAAAGAGAGGAAATTTCAATTTCTATAAACTCTTAAACATTAAAGTAAACTCATTGTAAGTTGTGACTATGGCTGTGTTTGGTGCGGCTCCAGAGGGCTCCGGCTCTGCAACTGTGGCACTACTGTAGCGGAGCCGGGAGGAGCCACCACTTCACGCCTGCGTTTGCACATCGGTGCAGTTTGTGAGAAAATGGCAGTGATGTACCTTCACCTGCCGGTTATGAGCTTGAAAATGAAAAAAAATGATTGGGGCTTGGGCTAAAACCGGTGTGACAGATCACATCACTTGGTTTGTGGCTTGAACCGCAAAGTGTTTTATGGCACTCATTACTGGCCGGGTTTAAGCCAAGAGCCGGCGGTGATTGGGCTCTCTATCACTATCGGTTCTAGCCAAGAACCGACGGTGATAAGCCTACAACATAAAAAAGCCTGCAGCCGTCTCTCTCCTTCCTCCTCTTTTCCATCCGAGGAAACGGGCAGGCGCGTTTGAGACTCTTTTTCCTCCATTGTTGTGGCTGCTCTTCACCATGAAGCTAGTGCTTGGATTTTTGAAGAATGGCTTGATCTTTTTGCTTTAAGGTTAGTAACAAAACATTCACTCTTTTGATTTTGTTGCTTAATTAGCTTCGTTTTGAAGGCTACATTGCTTGATTCTCGTTTTGATTCTCATTCTGCAGTCGCGCACGCATGCATGTTTGATGTTCCCAACTGCTACTCCTCCCATCCGATCATCTAATCATACGGTGGTATATACGGACTAGCTACGGATATGTTGGACGGAGTTCACTGCATTTTGTCGCGGGGCTCGGACACGCATGATTCCTTCCTCCTCACTCGAATGGTGGTGGAGGAATGGCTTTTCGTTACAAACAAGATTATGTATATATACCAAAACGAACAAGGCAATATATATCCACGATTGTTTTCAATCGCAAGTATATATATATATATATATATATATATATATATATATATATATATATATATATATATATATATACACACGCATTATTCTCAGTAGCTGGCCATATAGAATAATGTTATCATCTTGAATTATTGTCATTATCGTAAATTGGTTAAAACATTATCATAAATCAAGATGGCTATAAAATAAGTTATTCTATGATCAAATTGTAGAATAGTCTTACTGTATGTATATATATATATATATATATATATATATATATATATATATCTTTCCCTCGCTATAGCCACCGTCCAAAAAAGAGAGGTATAATCGACTAGACGTAAAAAGGCAAATTTTACTAAGTTTGACTAACAATTAGTTAAATTAAGTATAGCATCCCATAACCCCCAAACAAAATTCATTGACATACACATACAAAAATGCCCGCCTCCTCACCACTCACCCACGGCCACGCCTGACAACTTGCTGCCTTGCTGCCCCCGCCCACCATCCACCCTTGCCCTCCTTCTAACCCGTCATCCATCTAGTTGTTGGCGAGCCTCCCGCCGATCCGCCTCAACTACCGCCTCCACCACCATGGCCGGTGGTACCATCGCCTTCACCCACGCACCGCTGGGCTAGCCTATTGCTAGCTAGGGATCTAGGGTTCTGACCAAAAGAAACCCTAACCCACCTCCAAAGAACGATCGACGCTAACACGGGGAGCACAATCGTGCAAGCGCGCATGACCGCCACTGGTTAGATTTTTGCGATATTGTTTGGGGTCATGGGATGCTATACTCCTATCCATGATTTTAATTAGTGCCCGAGCAAGTGATTTTGTAATATAAGCTTGCAAAGAAATGTTGATGATTCTGTAATATTACTACTCAAATATGTGATTATATAACTTTACTTCACTTTTTACGGTTCGTAAAGTCCAATAATTACTACCTGAGCATAAAAATAATTTATGATCACTAAAGACCTTTCATGAGCATGATATGTCCGTTTTTTTACTACTAGCAGGGAGTGATCCAAGCAAGATGTTATAGCTTAAATGCCCAATTATACAACTAGCCATTGTTCCATATAGCTAAACAACATTTTTTTTTGGCTTAAAAGACACCGATTTTACTACTAGAATAGTCCATGAAACTTAAAAGACACCGATTTTCTACGTGAGCGCACCGACGAAAAGATACTTTAAAATATTATATGAGATCATATATCTACAGATATTACTATTTCTCAGAGTAAAATCACCTAAATCATTGATTTTAGGATTGAGGAGCCAAACCAACTTTGTTGTAATGGTTGCAGGGTTGTAAATTTCAGTCGGATTTTACTACTACTACTACTGTCAAGTACTACCTCTGTCCCCAAAAGCATATAACTGTGGTATGCGTGTCAGTTTAAACACTTCACGTTTGATCAAGTTTTTATTAAACAGTATTCATATTTATGACTCCAAATTAATTTACTATAAAAATATATTTCGTAATTAATCTAATGATATTTATTTGATATTATAAATATTTATATTTTTTATTTATAATTAGTCAAACTTGATGTACTAAAATATGACACTGTTATAGAATTGCATTCTTTTAAGGACGGATGGAGCATGTCTATACGTTGAAACGATTTACTACTTGGATAATTCAACTATTATCACCTGCTCCAATACATTTTGGAAACAAATTTTATAGCATTGCTTCACGTATATTGGGATCGGAGTTATACCACGTTACTGATCACGCATTATTCTAACTCATATAAGGCTAGACCGTGAGTTAGATCATACAATGAGGAGGGTCTAAGTGCATTGTGCCAAGTAAAAAAAAGACAAGCGGAAGGATTCTTTTATAGATATATATAGACTAAGAGGCGAGATAATATAGATAGATAGATAGATGTGAGTAGATAGATAGATAGATAGAGAGAGAGTAGATCGTAGTCTGAACTTGTCGTCAGTCTGATCCGCACGCACGCCACATACACGATCCAATTGTTTTCTCGGATGATGAATAAAAAGGCAAAAGGGTAGAACAAAGCAAAACTCTCCCAATTCCCTCTGCACCGCGCCGCCCACCCAATTGATCGAGGCGCGCCACGCCCTCGTTGCTGCCTTCCATGCCGGGTCCTCGCCCTCTCCGGTCGTGCTACATTATGTGCAGCGGCGATGGTTCAGACTCGACCTCCGCCATCGTCAGCGGCGTAAGCGTGGACTGCTCCCACGTGCTCAAGATCGTGTCCTACTCCCGCACCAAGCATGTCCCCAATGGGCGCAGATCGACTCGCCACTTCCACCGGGAGGGCACACAGTTAAGTGGTGTATCACCCCAATGGATGCGCCACCCGACAACGCGTCGATTTCATATCGTTGTTTCTCGCCATCCATGGTGCGATGCAAGCAAAGGCTCGCTGGCGCAGTCACCATCAAAGATACTCGACCGGACGGGAAGCCGGGTGTCGCCCTACACCAAAGTCACCGGATTCATGGACTTCATGGAGAAAGGGAGTTGGGGATACCAAAAGTTCATCGAGAGGAAAGCTCGGAGAAATCCGAAGCATCTCGTGGATGACTCTTCATTGTCCACAGTTCGGCGTGACCGCGTCTTGAGGGACATCCAAGCCGTGGGAACACCGCCGGTGGTCGTGTCGCCGTCCGACATGCACCGACACTACGGTGATCTCCTCGCCTGAAAGGAGGGCGCCCGATGTCAAATTGAGTCGGCTGGAAGACATTCTCTCCGCTCACCGCTTGTTCTCGACGCGATCACGGTGGTGTTCAAAGTGGAGCTCTTTGGTCCGATGAAAAGACACCACCACCAAGGCCCGTCGATGATCAAGACATGGAGCCAGAGGTGTTCGATCGCGTGCTCACCTTCATTTACACGGACACCCCCGCCGAGACGGAGGAAGGCGAGGAATGCGTAATGGCTCGACATCCGCTTGTCGCCGCAGACATGTATAACTGGAGAGGCTGAAGTTGATCTGTGAAGACAAACTATGCAAGTATCGATAAGGGCCTCATTGCGACCTCCTAGCTTTGGTGAAAAGCACAAGCATCGTCATGGGCTTAGGATGCATGCTCGCATTCCTAAGCTCAATAAGAATCTGGATGCGATCATGGAAACAGATGGTTTTGAGTACTTGATGTTAGTTGATCTCCACCAATAGGCCCAACGGCCTATTGGGCCCTTTGTATCTTCTCCTCGATCGGGGAGCCCAACCCTAATATGGTTGGTGGGCCCCTGTCGCACAGCACAAATAAAAGAGAGATGGGGATCACGGCTCGAGTGACGAGGTTCGAAGGAGCCGCCACAGCCACCTACAGAAAACCCTAATCCGATCAAAGGTCGTGCTGCCAGCGACGGGATGTGCCCCACCGACCACCGTAGTCGTTCCCCTGCAGGTCTACACCGGACCGCCGTCTCGCCACCGAGCCGAAGCTACCCCTACACCGGCGTCTCTACGCCACCAAGTCAGCCGTGATAGTGAAAGGCGAGAAGGGTCTTCCCCGGATCTACGGGTTTCACACACAGAGGTACTAATCATCGATCCTAACAATGATATCAGAGCTAGGTTGCCTCTGTGTAAACCTAACCCTAACCGGGTAAAAGAAAATGGAAAGGGACCAGGGGTGGCAGACGTCACTGGAACCCTGGTCAACCACCACCACCGCGTGGAGAAAGAAACCGCACTGCCTCGACTGGCGCACGCAATGTAAGCAAGAAACGTAAAAGATCCGTGTTTGGATCAGAGAAGAGAAAGGGGAAAAGGATCTCAAGAACCCTAACCCTAACCCACGCAGAAAGCTCGGGGAAGAAGAAGAGAAGAGAACTGAACACTTCTTTTCGGATCTGAACAGAAGAGGAGTGGGTTCGGATTTGACCGAACCCTAAGCCCTAACCCTAACTCGAATAAAGAAGGGGAAGGAAACCGATTCGGATGAACTCCGAAAAGAAAAGAAATTAAAAGAAAACGAATCCCTAACCCTAGATCTCCATTTTGGATGAACTCCGAAACGGAAAGAAAGATCCAAAAGCAAATCCAAAGGGGAAGAAGAAAAGGAACCCTAGCATCTAGATCTCGGATCAAAAGAAATCCAAATCGGACTCAACCGAAAAGAGAAACAGAAAAGAATCAAAGATGGGGAAGGTCGGATTCCAAACCCTAACCCTAGATCTAAACCTTATTCCCATCCACTATTTTAGAAAAGAGAAGAACAATCCAAATCAAAAAGAACAAGGGGAAGAAGGGAAGGGTTGCCGACGTAAGAAGATGAACAAAGAAAACCCTAACCCTAACATCATACCCCAATCTGTTGAATCCAAAAGAGAAACAAGATTCAAGAAAGAGAAGGGAAAGGAAAAGAAACCAACCTCGCTTCGAGGCGTCGGTAAAACCCTTCACGGTGTGGGAGAAGATGACCGAGTGGGCTCACCTCACGGGCTTTCGGCTTAAGGGGTCATCATGACTAGGCCGCTGACGGCGGGCGCGCTTTCACCATTGGGAGCGCGCCGACGGCGAGGGGGCCAAGGGCGGTGCCATGGCCGCTCCACCATTCATCGCTCTCGCCGCTTCGCTTCTTGGTCGATGTTAATCACTGTCTTTGAGAAGAGATGAGGTAGAGAGAGGAGAGAGCGGCGAAGAAGAGAGAGAGAGAGCAAAGGAAGGAAATGGACTTGGGTTTGGAGGGCGCGGCCGTGGGCGGGGTTTTGTTCTCCCTATCAGCACGCGCGACCGTCCGATCAGAACCAACGGCGTAGATCAAATCGGGCCGTCGTCGCCGACCTAGAAAGCGCAGAGAGCGCATGACGGCACTTTTGCCGCCCAGGCCCAAAGTTGCGGCTCAGGTGTGGCAACATGAACGGTGGGCCGAGCCGGCCTTTGATGGTTTTGGGCCTAGAGAAGAAGAATGAGCCCACATTTTCTGTTTTTTCTTTTCAAAAATTGAAAATGCAAATTGGCTCAAAAGAAAAATAGAAAAGTAATTTTTCCGTGTGGGTAAAATTCAAGAAATTGAGTATACGTTTTCCTCTGCTAAATAAAAAGTATATTCTCCAGTGATTTTGAACCGACGTGATATTTAATCGGAGAAAAGAAAGGTTTTTCAAAGAAAGGTTTATTTCAGAAATTGATTAATGGATTAAGGAAATAGAAAAAACAATTTTCCATGTGGGTAAAAATTCAAGAAAAAGAGAGTTTTTCCACAGCCAAAGAAAAGTTGTTGATTCTCCAGTTATTTTGAACCAATGTGGTATTTAATTGGAGAAAAAGAGATTTGACATGATTATGATGTTGTTATTTTCTGACCAACGTTGTTAATAACAATATCATAATTTTAATGATTTATGCATTAATTCTACTTCTGCCCAACGGTGATGTAGATTTAGTGTATAAGAAAAGTTGATAATTTTATTGATTTATGCATTAATTCTATTTCTGCCCAACGGTGATGTAGAATTAGTGTGTAAGAACAATTGTGAAAGTTAATGATTTATGCATTAATTCTATTTCTGCCCAACGGTGATGTAGAATTAGTGTATAAGAATAGTTGTATGTTTTAATTTTGACCAACGTTGGAATCGAGGCATGCAAATGGTGTTATTTATATGTTAAGAAAAAGATTGACCTGGTTTTCATCTTGACTGATGGGACTGGGTAGTCACCTCACCGTGTTCCACTGAGTTTGTGGCACCAGTGAAGGAGACAAAAGAGAATGATACCACTTGGTTAACTAAAGAAAGGGATTTTAAATCCTAAAAGATGTCCTATGACTTTGGAGCATAGGAAGTGGGTCACTGCAAATAAGAAATGTTTGGCTCTGATAAAGAACATGATTGAACCTGTAATTGTGGGCTCAATCCTAGAGTGTGACACGGTCACCGAGTACCTTGATAGAATAAAGAGTCAGTTCACTGACTCTTCAAAGACATATGCTACCTAGCTGATAAAGCAGCTGGTGACAGAGTGTTATTCTGATAAAAGAATGGCATAAGAGACTCACGATGCGTCGTCGAAATTATGGCACTGTCGTTTAGGCCATATTTCGAGGGGGAGAATAGAAAGACAAGTTAAGAATGATATTCTTCCTCCATTAGAGCTCTCAGAATGCATAAAAGAAAAGTATGTAAAGAAAGATGACAAATGAAGCGTAGGAATTTTATAGATTATTCACACGTATATCCTGTGGTCGCTTTCCCAGTAAAGAGTGTGGATTGTTATGATTTGTTCATGACATTCACAGATGATTACTCCCATTATGACTATATTTATTCAATCAAAGAAAGAAAAGATGTATTGGATAAATTTAAGATATTAAAGATTAAGATAGTCAGGTCTGACCGTAAGGGAGTACTACGGTCGGCATACCCTAAAAGAATGGCATAGTAGCCCAGTATCCTACACCGGGCGAACCTCAGCAGAATAGAGTAGCTAAAAGAATCAATCGCACCCCGATGGATATGGTGGATGAAGATGATAAGTTACTCCATCTTACAGCTGAGCTCAGGATGGAGGCGTTAAAACCGCCATTCATATTCTCAATAGTGTGTCAAGAAAGTCGGTGCCCAAAACACCGTATGAGTTGTGGACAGAAAGAGTACCCTCACTAAACCACTTGCGTCTGTGTGGGGGAGCCCTGCTGAGGCTAAAGTATTTAACCCAAACATTGGGAAGTTAGATTCCAAAAATAGTAAGTTGCCATTTCATTGGCTACAAAGAAAAGTCAAAAGGTTTTCGTTTCTACTGTCCAGAGAGACATACAAAGTTTATGGAAACGGGACACGTTGTCTTCCTAGAGGATGAATTGATGAGGGGGAGCATGGTAGCTCGAGAAATTGACCTTGAAGTGAAGCGGGTGTATTTGCCCACTCCAATAATTCATGAGCCAATTTTCACTACTCACTTTTTGTCACTACTCAGACTGTTGTTATCCCACCTGTGGCAACAATGAATGACGATGAGGAACCTGTTCTTCAGGATCCTATAGAACCTATTGCCACACATGAGGGGGGAGCAACAACAGCCTCAAACAGAAGATATGTCAAACGTGGAGGCCCCTAGAATGTCTCAAAGATTAGAAAATCAGCTTATTATGAAGTGTACAACACCGAAAAATGGAGGATGATCCACCTCATTTGAAGAAGAACGAATGATCATTCATCAAAGAAATCCAAGGCCATGGAAGATGAAATAAAATCAATGAATGCCAATAAAGTTTGGTTTGAAATAATTCCTAAAGGAGCCAAAGGATTTGTAAATGGGTCTTAAAGAAAATGTGACTCTCAATTGAAATATAGAGACAAATAATAAAGAGAATTGTAGAAAGACAATTATGCAAAGAGAAGGGTTTAAGAATGAGAAGTTTTCTCTTCCTTGTAATGTTTCCTTCGAATCATACCTGGCATTAGTGGCACATTAGTAGTGATGTGGATGTAAAGACGACATTTCTCAACGGAGAATTGGAGAAAATGTTACATGGCATAACCGAAAGATCTTGTCATGGAAGGAAAAGAACGAATGGAATGCCACCCAAAGAAATCCATTTATAGATTAAAACAAGTTTCAAGACAGGGATCTTGAAGTTTGATCATCGAAAGAGAATGAGAGGACAATTGTGTATACAAAGAAAGAGAATGTAGAGGACAATTATGTCAATACAAAGGAATGAGAAGTTTATCTTCCTTGTCCTGTAT